TGTACATACTGGTTTAAAGAATTGCTGCAAGTATTTACACCGTATACATAATAAGCGATGCTTTGAGTTGTGATTGCATTATAAAATGCGTAATTTTATATTTTCTTTGTTTGATAGCAACGGCACAATAATACTTTCTGTTATACCTTAACCAGTTAAAAATAATAATTTATGTGCATAATTAAATGTCGTAACGAGCTGGAAATCAAAAATATGGCGAGGAACTCGTTTCTTTTGTCCATTAGTTGAAGTGTTGATGTTGCGACATGAAATTGGAAAAGGTTTGTTAAATGGTTCGGTGGTGAGGGGGTGTTTCTACCCGAAGCCCCGTAATTTGATTGGGATGGTCCGAGAGCCGCTAAGAATCGCGCCTCGTCCGACTTGCACTAATTGCCCCGCGCAATATAGAAAACAATGACAAAACTTGGAACCGCCTCGGTCGTTCCCGGCCTTTAACCTCCGCTTTTTATTTAAAATTCGTTTACTCGCCTCGCAGATTGTAATTCAGCCGAGTTAGTACGCCTGACGTTATGCAAACATTGTAAACTGAATTTTGTGCCTATTAAATGGACAGATTATAACTTTTGTGTAATAAAAAAGTTTTTGTTATATTATTTAAGAAGCATACAAGAAATTTGTAAATATTAAGTGGGTAATAAAGGAAAGCGCGTCAAAAGTCCTAATGTACCGAATGAGCGAATAGAGATATATCAAATAACATCAGAAATGGATGGTATAATAAGGTTGGGCTCGGAGTTGGACGCACTCGGGGTCGCGCGAGTAATTGATTGTGACATTTGATGGACGTGCAGCAAGTGTATGTTGCACCGCACCGGGGACTATATCTATGTACACTTGACAACGTCATAATAAAGCTTCGTTTATTTTTCACCAGCATTACTTGTAAGAATTAAACATTTAAACTATAAACATGCTTGTAACATGTACCTACCAACCTCGATTGTTGAGGTCCGCACTATAGTCAATAGGTTGTGGACATTACTAACTAAATAAACTCACCTTTGCAACCTCTGCAAACCAACGCCGCGCTGAAAGTTTTAAGGTCTGCTTAATAACGCAAGCAATTTGAGGGTCGGCCTTTGTTAGCTTTCTTGTTTCACTAAAATGATTTGATGATTTTGACTTTTCAATTCTCAAGTTTTCGACCCTTCTATAATATTTCTACGTCGCCATTTTGATTTGTAATTGTTAAATTACAGAAATGAGAATCGTCTAATTAAGTAGCTAACGTTTCTTTTTCTTACATAATGCCAACATTTATGTATAACTGTCAACTTAGTTTTTCTCTGATGATAGCAAAATGACTACGTTGGTGAAACTAAAAAGGTTTCTCTACACTCTAGAGAAAGCCACTTAACCACTCTCCTAGATAGTACTTTAACGAACAACTTATGTGATATTCAGTATTAATATGTCGCTTAAAAGATTAGACGATATTTCTTATTACTTAATCATTATTATTATTACACTTTAGATGTGTATTCAGTCATTTCTCAGTTATACGACATATAAAATCGACATAACGTTCACATATAAGAGGCCGCCGTTATTGCTAAGTAATATTGATTAGAGTGTCGCTACGAGTCAGGACACGCGAGGTGAGATGTTTTTATTCGAGCAACACGTCCTCGAGTGGCGACTGCCACGATGTGTCGTCCTCCCGCGGGACACGAGCCGCACTTTCGAATGAAGATATTTATAGCCGCCCCAGAAGACGCCGTTACCTAATGCTACGTTTTATGGTAGCCCTTATTACGGTTCTCCTTTAGATTCCCTTATATTACTACACTCCTAACCCATACCACAATAATCCTATTTTATAATATTAAGCCAACCAGGTTTAATATTTTAGAGGAATCCTGTCGATGGTCACTAGTGACTCACAAAACCGCCACGTGAAAGATATTCTTTGCGGCAATCGTAAATTGGGCAGGTCCCTGGGGTGAACCGAAAGGCTACCTTCTGAGTTTGTGCCGCATATACTAATCGCTCCACCCGTTCACTTCCTTACACCCGCTACAGCCTTAGATCTATGCATCCCGTCCTAATGGCCGCGAAAAGCCTCCTTTGTTGCGACTCCTATTTGTTATATCTCGACGCGCTTTACCAAGAAACCGTCTTTGACTAACCTTATTGTTCTTTCAAATCGACTGTTTTGTTGTACATAAATGCTTTGTCACCTAAATCTGTTAAGATGCTCTCCTTTAATTAAGCTTCATTGTGAGGTAAATGGTGATTCGTGCGGGGATTTATGGTAACCTTATGACTAAAGCAGTCAAATATGATGTGCAATGTAAAATAACACTAATTATATGCATGTGTAGTTAAAAATTATAGTTTAGAATAATGTAGTTGGGAAGCCGTAAATACACAACGTTGCCTTTGCAATGCTCTGTTGCATTTGGTGGCGTTGAACTCGAGATCATTTTACTCATCTTTGATTGTGACTGTTTCTTCCGTGACTTGCTTTTCACTCTATTATGAAAAACGTATAGGTAATTATAAATAATAACTTGTTATGTGAGATAAAATAATATACAAATTTTAGTTGGTTTATTTGATGGTGGCATTGAGAGGTTTCAACTGGTTTTAAAACGAATTTTGTTCACATTGAAGGTCAGATGAAGCTTTTAATATTTCCTCAGTACATAATATTTCTACTATAAATAAAACAACACTTAATGTAACATTATACTTTCGTATATTTTTAAGCTTTTCTAATGCTTCTTATCTAAAAGTAACTTACGTCACACTATAAAAATAATGACACTGCCTCTGACATACTTTGCTTTATGTCAATTTTCGCTAAGGGGCTACTCTTGGAACCCCATGATGACTGCGGTCCCTCGTTACTATTTCTGTCTAACCAGACGCTAAAACACACAACGTTTGTCACTAATGATGGCGCTATTTATTTATACTATGTACATTGGATATGTTTTAGCCTTAACATCAAGAAATAATTTCTTGGCGTGAAAGCAGCCATGTAATTCATATTTTTCTATTGTTGCCATGGAATATGCATATGAAGTAAATAGACTTTTTATTTTGCGCTACCATTCATCCAGATTCATTGTTCTTTGAAATTGCTCGGCGCTGGGTAGCACACTACGGGTCTCGGTATTTTGTGTCTATTATTATTGTTGCTAACAGGTCTTGCCAATCGAGAAGGATTTTTCAATATTCGGATACTTAACAATAGCGGTTTAGATGTACTCTCCTCGTACAGAATGAAAATAGAAAAATGTTTATCAATCTCCACTACTTATAATACTTATTATTTTACGTTAGCGGTCGGTCAGACTAGCAATATTATCTGTATTGGCAAATAGATAGCCGATAAAATGGTAGTATGTTTAGCTGTAGTTGTTTACTCGACAGCGGTAAAAGGTTTGTGAGTCCCTCGCGGCGCGGATGCGCTTGTTTTCATTTCGTTATTTACTTTTAATTTGGCAGCAAGCGGATGATGCGGCCGATGTAGGGACGTACCGTGTGAATAATTGAGCCGATACTTTGCTATTTATCAGGCCTGGTGTCGAGGGTCATATTTATATTTCCATAATTATTTTTGAAACCTACACCTTCCAGGATGATTAATAGCAGGCTTCGTAATGGAAGAAAGCGTTAATGAATTGGGGAAACCTATAGCGAGACAGAGAAAGGGGCAGCACTTTTACTTGCCCTATAGATGTATAAAGACTAATCGGAAGAATTATACAGTTAAATATAAATACATTATTTTAATATGAAAGTATTAGAATGTAAATCCCAAAAGCTTGGGCGATAGTAAATATTATACTTATTAATTAGCTGGGGGACATTTCACAAAACAGAATCCAAAAAAAGCCAAGCCGGGCGTGGAATACGGCGTTCGCACTTTGCGACTACATCGCGTGCTTGGTAACATTACCGGTGACTTGTGGGGTCGCCTTATTGTCTTGACTCTCTTTGTAGCTATCAATAGCTGCTAAAGGGAATTAATTTTCCTTTTATGTGTTTTGCTAACATTTTTTTTATGTATGGGAAATGATATTATTCTGATCTTGGAGAAGAGCTAAGCCAGAACATTTGAATTCACATTTTTTCCAGCGAATACGTAAAGTAAGCTTTATAGTGCAACAAAGGTTTTTCTTTTAATTTTTGTAGATAACGTGTGCAGACTGTTCCAAAAATATATCAGAAATTGTCATTGTAGTTTTGATAGCTTTTTTCACAACTTTCATTGTTTCTATACTTATCTCCAGGGGCCATTCTTATAAATTGGATATGACTTAGGTTTTTGTAGTGTTTATTTATTTTATTTTCATTGTTGTCTGCAATCATTCTCTCTTACAATTACATATTGAGCGTACAATCTTCCTTGGAACTTTTGCGTTCTTCGGCAAAGTTCACTAATTGTTTAAAAGTTGTTTAGCGTTGAAACATTTGATTTATTCAACATGGAGGGGTAACTGGATTTATAAAATCATTTTACGTAAGAAATGTCTTAAGCGACAGTATACACAATCTTTGCATTAACTCTAGTAAAACAAAGAGTCCGTGCTCTGCCGAAAATCATCACAGTCAAGGTTTTATGTGTAGAAACCGAGCCATGAACAATGTTTACGTTGAGAATCGATTTTGTCAAGTAGGTACTATTTGGGGAAAGGAGTTGAACTTGATTATAAATAAACGAGATATCATGAGTCGTGGTCGTGAAAGTGGGACGACTGCGGTGGCGGGTTTACTAGATGCAGGTCGACCGCTGCAACAACGGTGTTTGTTGAGGAGGTGGTGGGCGGCACGAGGGGCGCGGGAGCGGACAGAGCGCGCTCACCTGCGAGTTGCGACCGCCGCGGCAGTTCCGCGACTATCGCCGATCGCGTTTCACGTATGGCTCGATAGACATGAAGCTTTCAACTCGTGTTTTCACACTCTGTGTAGTGTTATCTCTAGTGTTTGTGTTTTGACTGTGATTGTGGTGATAATACTTTGACGATATGGTGGTGCTCGAGGGTGGTGGCGCTCTACTTGAGCCGGCTCTAGCCCTCGACGGCGCGACTGCGGCCTGCCTCGAACGTGCTTATGCCCAAGCAGACGTTTCGCTTAAGCTATTACCAAAACGGTACATTAACCTCCATCAATGGTTGTCTCCAGTGACAACTTCCGTCACTGCGGCCTCCGCTGCTGGAAAAGATCTCAAATTGCAAATCGTAAGTTTATTTACAAGATATGTATACAAATTATTTATAAATTATACAGCTTAAACACGATTGTGTTTAACGATCTGATGTGACTTGGTTTTTATTAAGTTAAGGTAAAATACCGCCACCATGTTATTTTTTTAATATTTCTTATAATAAAAAAGTAGTTAACGTATTGTTTTAATTTTTTAATAGTAGGTTGCATACCTATTATAATTTTTACATCGGGCAAAATATTTTAATGGAATCAGGTTTTGAACAAATTGTGTTGACTTTGCCATTCTTGTTTTACCTACTTGAGGTCGTTATTTAACTCGAATATGTATATAAATATCTATAATTATTATAATAATAGAAGCAAACCACTTAAATGCGATACTTCGCGTCATTCCCGCGATATTAGAAACACTATCTATGCATTACTACGTTTAACCACCATGCTGTGAAGAAGCAAAAATCTCATAACATATTAAAATTTAGATGTATCCATACATTTATATATCATTATGAAGCATTTGTAATTTGTCGTCATTGGATTGAGTGTGATACAGTTTTGACAATGCACATAATAGTTACTTGTATTAAAATAAACTTCTAGGAATGGTATTAACAGTAAATAGATGTATTTTTTATTTATTTATTTTACAGAATAATATAATCTAAATCATGATAAGTTACATTTTAAAACCACTGTACCAAAGCACAAATGCATATAAAAATAGGTTTTCAACTTACTTTTAATGTTGCTTAAGGTAAGGCTATATGATAACTGACTCGGTAGTACATTTTTAACCGCGGTAGGAAATACCCCAACGTTTTCTTGCCACAGACGTTGTTCGTTCTCGATTCACAGAGCCTAGTTTGGGTCTGTACGTCATGCTCAACTCGTTTTTTATGTCATATAGAAAAAAGATTATAATACAACAAACGAATAAGCCAAGAAAATGATGCTGAATGGTTCGAATATCATTTTAAGCGTTATTAGGGTTAATTCAAACTACTATTTTTGTTATTTGTATTGATTTAATCAAACAATATTAATTTAATTGGCACATTTCGATGGGTTTATGTTGATAGACGAACCACCAAAAGCTGAAGCGGTTTACAATATATGTATAAATGTATTCGTATACATACATATCGTTATAATCTCAGTTTTGCAGACATTAATAGACGCTAAAGTCGGATTGGAAAGCGTAGCCTTTTGCGCGTGGAGAGACCGCCGCGGACCGTCCGCAGTATCTCGCCGCTCGATCTTCCCGCATTCATACCGTATTCCTGAAATACCCAAATGAAAAGATTCGGTTTTACAAACCAACTCACCTACGGCTTTTGAAAGTTCGTGCACGGTCTAAAAGTTTCATTATAGAGATTGAGTTCGCCTTTTATAGTGCATTTTACAGTTAATTTCCATAAAATTTACAAAATTTTGACGAGCGCTCACGTAGATATTACTAAAAGTGTGTTTTAATCTCGTCTTAATAGCTTTTTTTTACATCTAAAAACTCAATAAATTACTACGGTGTCTTTAAAAATCTGCAGTTTCTTAACAAGTGGCGTTTTGTTTATTTACATATCTAAATTATGTCTATATAATTAAACGTTTACGCATATTTCCAAAAACGCCTTCTGATCAGATCATTCCTTATGTCTGTCTGAAGGTAGTTTTGTAAAGTTAACCTTCCTATTTAAACTGTAAAAATAAATTAAATATAACAGTAATTAATATGAATGTATCATTAATAGACAGTTATTTTAATATACCACTGTAAAACAGTGAGTTATACAGATGTAAATTATGCTTAGCTAATATAAGTTCGCAAGGGCACGTACGAATTGTTTTAAAAAACATAAACTTTTAGACTAGTTACCTTACATTGATTAGATTGGTTGACTGCAATTCCATAAACATAGTAAATTTATCTACGACTTGTACTTGACTACAAGGGTAGATTTACTGCAGTACTCGTTTGTTGGCGTCTTTTCACCTCTTGTTATATTTTGTTGCTAGTACAGCAGTGAGAAATTGTAATGTTCTAGAATTGTAGGAACGACACGCTGCTATTGTGCTCAGCAACTTTTTCAAGTTTGCCATACATATTAACCAGAAAAAAGTATTGTAATGTTGTGGGAAATTACATCAATTTTATAAATCAATGTATGCTATATTTATTAAGATTTTTTTATATTTTTATAAAATACTGAAATACTTAACCTTATCTAGCTAATAGATTTTGTCGCATTGTCCGTAGCTAATTTACATGTAACGCGTGGTGTATAATAGGCGTCCGTAGCATGTAGTACTATTACACGCTAAAACAACACAAAGACGAAGGGTAAGGTGGAACATACGAGCCGTGGAATACATTAGCCGCCTCCAACGGGGCGGTTAGTGGAGCGCAGTAATATATTTCACTAGCGGTCATTTTCGACAATTAACCACATAAAATAAGTGAAATTATGCATACGGTCGACGACGGCGTATATCACGTCCAGTTACGGGGCACGATACCCACCCACCTGTTTATTCATTATTCAAAGAAATGTTTCGCTCTTCCATGCCGCCGCGTCCCGGAAGTGCTGCCTCTGTTACCGTGATTGATGGAGATTCTTTATATTTATTGTTCTTTTTACTTTGGCATTTTGCGTCTCTTTAACGCTATGAATGTATTTTAATATGTCATACATATTTCATAAACATTAAATATCAATATTTCAATTTTATTTTACTGATGTAAAAGCCTAAATGGCTCTCCTCGGTAAGCCTTTGCTTCAACCGGACCTCACAAGCCGTCGGATTCATTTTCTGTTGCAATTTCCTACAATTTCCGGGCAGCGTTTGGTACCCTTGACGTGTTGGAAAATTATTTTCACGCAGATTGTACACCGGATTTAAAGATTCATATTCAAGTTTTATTATCTGTGAAGTTTTTATATACGTGTTTTTGCATCAAAGGCTTCCGAATAAAGCCTCAATGATAACCGCGGTTCAACGACCTGTTTGAACAAGTTTTGTCAACAGCTAGGCGTAGGCGTTTTATTCTAGTATATGTTCACGTACTTTGACATAACATAATGTGTCTAAAATTCGAATTGATAGTTGAGAGTGGGGGAATGGCAAACACAACGTGCGCTCAATCCCATTCGGCATCACCTTGAGGTGTGAATCAGCAGACGGCTTGCGGCGCGCTCACCGGTACGATCTAACGGGGTAGTTCAAGAATAGCATGCGGTCTATTTAGGAATCTTCTCTGTTTGTTTGCCAGCGATATGTGTCATTGTTAACTAATTTAAGTAACATCTTCTGCCAGCTGTTACGACATTGCAACCTATGATATCACTTAAGAAGGGAACTCCAATATGTCAATAATTTTTTTTATGATACGGTTACATCTCAAAGAATTCTTATTTCTAATAATTGTCATTAAATTTATACGTAAAAATTCCCTAGTGAATATTACGATTCTATTGATTTATGTCCTGACTTAAAGCAGTAACTTGCGGTGTCACATACGTTTTATTGCTCTTACATCGTATAGGTTTTGTAAAGGTAGGTAGAAAGTCTGTAGCAAACATAATACCTTTTTAGACAAAGAAATAATTATCTCTACCCAATTTATAATTATTAAAATGCTCATTTTATAATCCTGATGCCTTTAAATTAGCAATTTATATGCACTTATTCATTGTATCAAGAACGGTTGACGTAATAATGAGCATTTTAATTTTTTAGTGAGGTCGTCTGCGTTAATAAATACTTTATTAATTAATGTGGAGCCCGGGTTTGCAGCGTCCGATAGCCGGGGACATTATCGCTGGAGAGTTGCGTAAACATCACAATGTAAAACACGATACCGTTTAGCCAGTTAATTAATTGCTGTGACTGGGAGCCAGGAGCTGCTAGCCTAGCTACGGTCGTCGCGGGCTCGTTATGGAAATAATGAATGCGATCCGAGCATAACTAACAACCGATGCACAAGTTGTTAGTTGTTGGGACCTCTAATCGGTAGCGCCCATTTCGACTTTATTGTTAGCAACATTGTTGGTTCTTTTTTATTGATTGTGAGTCGTTTATAGTATATTAAGTTAATATATATTATTTCTACAGCTGTAAGGTTTAAACTTGTTTCCTTAATGTCTTATACAATCAACATAATTAATGATGGTATTATTTTACATTGCAATTAGTTTTATTTGTTATGTTTTATAAAGCACTAAAGCTACGAGAAAGAGCAAGTTCAGTTTAGCGTACGGGTCTTACAGGAGTTATAGGGGTCGTGTGATTGAAGCTACGAACGAGACGTGTCACTTGATTTAATTAAGAGTCGCTATACCTACCTCCGTATCGTCGCTCCACCACCTAATACCACCTTCTAGTACCTTTGGGTTAATTTTCAACCGAGTCATTCTGGACGAGATTTATTTCCATATTAAACCTTCTTGACGACACGTTAACATTCGCCGAATTTTATTAAAGCTTGGCATGTAGAGCGTGCAATTATTATATATCTTAGTAAAATTTATAATAAGTTCAAACGCATTGGTAATAAAAGCGTTAAAAGAGGTGAGATCCTCCAAATCCGTTAGTGATTGCCTCATTTGAAATAAATTGCTCTCATTTCTCATTGTTAGCTCCTGTCAAGTTCAACGTATGTTTCGGCTTCTATCATTTTCACCTTTCAAATTGCTTTATGCGTGGCAAAGAAAGAGTAAAAAACTTAAAACATTTGAAATTCAAACATTTTCAGTACATGTTATCTATTTTTACGACATTTAAATATAAATTTCCAAAGAAAGGATAACATTGGATAATTAGAAAGAGATTTTACGAATTTTCAGTGTCGGCGTAATGGGCTACTCTTGTCGGCCGTCATCACGCGTCGCGGGAGAAGTTTGTTATTAATTCATCGTTTCTAAACTCGCTTTTCCTCGGTACCTCTACAAGTACAAAATTTACGTTAAATTTAGAATGACATTTGTTTATGTAACTAAAACTCTATTGTTAAACAAATTTATATATATTTGATGAGTATTGAACTTTCGAGGTTTCAAGTGATACAAACAATAATCTAAGAATAAATCTCATAATTTACCAAGAATCCATTTTCTGAAATTGACAAAAAAAAAATTATGCATGTATTGAAATAATGCGAAACACAAATCTTATATTTATTATCTGGATGTCCGTAGATTGCAACTAGAAATGAAATCTTTGTCACAATTATGGCGAGTCACAATCGGCAATCACAATATGATGGCCAAAAAGCGTCCACGCGATGTTGATTGTGACATTGTGTGATAAAAGCAAAGCTCGTATTCCGTGGTCGGGCGAAGGGCGAGCGGGGCGCAACACGCTGCCACCCGCATTTGTGATGCAAATTGTTGCGCCGCGGCGGCCGCGACGCAGAGCGCGCCGATGCGCTTCACGCCTTACCTGCTTCGCCCGACATAATTATTTTTGAAAAATATTCATTTGTTCGCATTTACCGCCTTTACTCTGCTGCATCACAGACATTATGAAACTTTGCAGTAAACTTCACAAAACCAACCTTTGTGTTCGTAGCTTGCTTTCTTGTACTAAGTTAACTAGATTTTTGCGCGAGTAAATCGACACCTTTGTTGATACTTCAATTGTAATAGGGGAATTCAATAGCTAACTGACTGCAAGAAGTCCGTGTGAAGTTTCGTGAGAACTTACGACTCTCGGTGCTCGATTGAACGTTATCATATTTCAAACGATTTCGCAAAACGAATAAGAACGAAGGCAAGAAGCGTGCGGTGAAACCAACTCTAGGCGTGGGTATTAGAAACGCTCCGATTACCACGCTACCATCTATAAGTACTTCGATTTTGTCGTTTAATATGCTGCTAAAGTAGCTCATATTGCAAAAGGAAAAAAAGCCTTTTTCATCTGCATCTATTTGTGTTTTAATTTAGTTACGTTATTACTGTTTCTTTTTCTTATAGGTACAAGATATTAAACTAAACTTAAATCTAAAATAAATAAAACAAATGTTTATTGTATAAAATACTCAATGTTTTGTTAGGTAACATACACGAAAACGAATTCTACTAGTGTACTTTTCTCATTCGGCATGAATTCGACATGAAAAAGTGAAAAATAATGAGTAAAGACATAGTTGAACTTCTTGCGTGCAAGTGCATTAACTCAACTAAGTTCAATGTTACAATCCGTGTAATAGCTAAGTCTTAGTTCTAAAGTCATGAATGACAAGCCAAGACCAGTCTGACATGACCTACATTTGTTTAAGAAAATAATGTTACCTTTATATGT